GAGAGAGGAGAGGAGAGGAGAGGAGAGGAGAGGAGAGGAGAGGAGAGGAGAGGAGAGGAGAGAGGAGAGAGAAGAGAGGAGAGAGAGAAAGAGCCTGCACAAGCTTTCCATCTACATTTATAGTACAAGAAACTATGCCTTAGGTGGGCTGGTATCTTAAAGGCTACTAGCTGAAGGTGTTCCCACGGCACCTCCCCCTTTTGTCTAAATAAGAGAGTTCTAAGCATAACACAAAGCTATATACAATAAGAACAAATATCAAGTATAAAAATTAGAATTACAACCAGCATAAACAATATCAAGCAAGAAACATATACTAAATGTTTTAATAATTATCCTAAGAATTTTAAGTCTTGGATTAGAAATGGTTTGGCTAGGTCATGGGAGGAAAGTAACTATGACTGTCTAGTTTTCAACCCCATCAAATACCTGAGAAGGGAAATAATATTACTTGAGTAAACATGAAATGCAATTAAGCAATTTTCAAAATGTGCAATAAATGACAGAGACAATTGGATACCTGGGCGATCATTCAAAGTCTAGAATAATTGGACAGACCATTTTCAGCTGCAGAAAAAATTTCAAAACCGTCTTACCCTGCCTTGGCAAAATTTGACACTCTTTTTTCTTGTATCCTGCTTGTCCTGTCCAGACACCATGCATTGTTGCCAGTGGTTGAGGCATGGGCAGTTCTTTGCCCAAAGGCCAGTTTTGCCAAGAAGAAAACAAGCTCCAAGTCTTTGTTGCCCAACATTCTCTCGGGAATAGATTGGTGCTGCCAAGAATAATCATGTCTCAGATCAACAGAACCCTAAATTATTTAAATGTCATATTCTACAGTTCTTTGAAGTGGTTGAACATTACCTATCTATGTGGAATACAATCTCTATGTATCTAAAGAACCTGATTAGTCTAACTATAAGTATGACAAACATAGATGACTATTGACCTATAATATTTAATACCTATATAGCTTAAAGAGTAAGACCTCATATTAGAATATTAAACAATCTTTAAACAACTGTGCAGCAAATGACAATGACCTAAAAATGTAAACAATGTCTAAGTATCTTGATCAGAGGTAGAAATGTATAGTGCAATATGACAAATATCTCCCAAATTGTATAAATATACAAAAGGTCATAAGCAGAGGTAGAAGCATGCATGCATGCAATATGACAAAATAACTTTGCCTAGGTGTACACATATTGTAAACAGAACTAGGAGCATATTCAAAATAACAAATATAATTTGAATTTGAATCAATGCAAAAGAATCTATACCAATGTAAATTGTCTATAAATAATAGCTCACAATTATTCACTCTATTTCTCACTATTATATTAGTGTAAGCTCACACTAATCTACCTATTATCCCGTCTAATTTCCCCTTTTTCTCCAAAATGATCCCTGAGCCTACATAATTTTCACCCCAACCCCAGCCCTGCATCAGTTATAATCAACCCCTAATTGATGTCCCTAACCCTGAGGACAAACTTTGTTGGGAGAGTGGACCTTGTCTTGTTGAGTTACTTCCGGCTGTCATGGGGGCAGGGGTGATGTTCTTTCTGTGAAATCCTGTAAAACTAAAATGATGGTTAAATTTGAAGATTACTGTCTGGTATAATTGTAAATAGTCTCTGAGTGGCCAATAGAGATTTTTGAAGTTTTTATTTGAGGTTCTGGCCAGAACGTTGTAAGAAGGTGCACCATTTTAGCCAAATGAGTTGGAATCATTTTGAGCAGCTGGTACCCAAAACCAATCTTAAAGTAGTGCTCTCAACATCATGACATCATATCAACCAGGTGGAATCGTTGGACCCAGTGACACACTTCCCACAACAAGGTCACACATCCCACACATAGTGCCACTTCCCGTGAGCCTGTGGGGGCCATTTTTATTCAAACCACCGCGGGATGTAAGGACAAAACTCTGACATTCATGTGAGTAGGTGGAATTTTCCATCCCTCATGGCTATGAAAATAGTTTAGCATATTTATCAGAAGTGGGTCAGGTTTCCATGGTGACACTTCTTCCTAAGCATAAGGCTGACTTTTTTGACAATAGATCCCTACAAGTTGTATGGATGCAGCTTTTCACTGCTGTTACATCCGGGGTTTGTATGGCCCTGTAGAGAGATGAGAAAGTAACTCAGTCAAAGGAGGCAGGAGGCTGAGGAGTTGACAGGAGGAAGGAATGAACAGAGACCTAATGGTGGTCAATGAGGTCACACGCCAGTAGGAAATGAACTTGATTCTCTTTTCACTTCTGGTTTTATCTTAGTCGTGTTTTTGCTTAATGGCAATGACAGAAAATATACAAGGAGGCATGGTTTTGTCCATAAAGAATTTGAGTTGGTCTGGAACAGCCAATCAGTGTTAAAAAGGGTCATCCTTAAAGAGACATGAGGTCCAGATGTCCAGGGTGTAAAGTTTGTATGAGGGGTAGTCCGTGTTGCCAGGAACCCAGTGCCAGTCCTTTAGTTTCAATCATTCTTGCCATCTGCTAGGGGCCCTGGCTGCTTGCCACCCTCTGAGTCCGCACCCACAGCCTACAGGCCTTTCCTCCCTGGCTGTTTCACCTCTGTATCATTATACTCTCCCGTTCCCCTTGCCTTCTTCCCCTACCCAAACCTCTATCAACCAAGATGATTGATACCTTCTTTAAATTGACCTAAAAAGAAAGAGAGACAAGTGATGTTAATTCCTGGGCATCTTTAAGCACTGTGTGGTTCAAGAAAAGAGTTGGTCCAGAGGGTGCTCTTGTGTTCCTCCCCTGATTTAGGGATCTAGATCTCTCTCAGAGAACCACCCTTTGAACAAAGAACAAAGAAAGAGAGTGGGGGAGGGAGGAAGGAAGAAGACAGGAGAAAGAAAAAGAAAGAAAGAAAGAAAGAAAGAGAGAGAGAGAGAGAGAGAGAGAGAGAGAGAGAGAGAAAGGAGAAAGGAAAGGAAGGAAGGAAATGAAGGAAGGAAAGAAAGAAAGGAAGGAAGAGAGAAAAAGAAAGAGGAAGGAAGGAAAGGAGATGGAGAGAAAGAGGAGAGAGAGGAGGGAAGGGAGGGAGGGAGGGAGGGAGGAAGGAAGGAAGGAAGGAAGGAAGGAAGGAAGGAAGGAAGGAAGGAAGGAAGGAAGGAAAATGAAGCAAGCACAGCAGCTTGGGAAGCACCATATGGTGGGCCTGCTGGATCTACACAAGGTCAGGGGGTACAAATAGTCAAGGTTAAAGACAAGCCAGCATCAGGATGGACGAGGATGTGGACACAAGGCTGAGCTCCACAGAACCAACTGAGGAAAACCTGACTCAGCAGGGACAGTGGATTCAAATTTAGCTCCTATCTACACACGGACACATCAGCTGGAGGGCATAGAGGATGACAGTCGGTGATAGAAACAATAAATTTTCTTCAGATTTGCTTACAGATTTTCCTCAACTTAAGTATCAGCATATGTTGAAGGAGAGAGGAGAGGGCCTGCTTTCATCCTGGCCGCCCGGCTAGCTTACACCTGAAATAATCACACAGAAACTATTAATTAAAACACTGCCTGGCCCAATATCTCTAGCCTCTTATTGGCTAACTCTCACATCTTGATTTAACCCATTTCTAATAATCTGTATGTCAGCACGAGGTCGTAGCTTACCGGGAAAGACTCACTGGGTCTGATCTGGCAACTCCATAGTGGCTCTCTCTCTCTCTCTGACTCTCTCTCTTCCTCCCAGAATTCAGTTCTGTCTTTTCCACCTACCTAAGTTCTGCCCTATCAGGCCAAGTAGTTTCTTTATTAATTAACCAATGAAAGTAACACACAAACAGAAGGACCTCCTACACCAAACATAAACTTGAAACATGCCTATAATTGTTTTAATTCAGTAAAACAAAAAATATTAAAATAGTGTTATTGAGTGAAAAAGAGATATAAAAATTATTATTGATCTTATTCATTCTACTGTAGAAAATCTGAGTTCTTCTTGGTTCCAATTTCTTTACAGTCTATAAAAATACACTGATGAACCATGAGAGCTAAGTTTATCAAAGAGCTACACAATCTGTGAAAAAAAAATTAGGTGAAAAACTGGAGGGGCGGAGTCTTAAGAGCAGCTCTGAACTCCCAGGGCTTATAGGTGACTTGTGCACGTGTGAGGTGTGTTTGAGAGGAGAGACAAGCTTGACGCCCTTGTGTGGCCCTGAAGTTGTCTACTGGTGATCCTTGTATTCAGGTCTTTCTTGTGACTTCCACAGGTGATCAACACAGCTGAAGACACCTGCGCCAATTCCTCCTGGGTGGATAGACTTTCTGCCAAGTACCACCGCATTGTGTAAGGCAAGACAGCTTCTCTTTCTATTACTGTGTTTCATGTCTGGCTAAAGCAGAGGGTCCAGAGAGAGATGGTGAAAGTCATCTGATCCCAGGAAGAAAATGATGATTAAAACACCTTTCCACCTCCTGGGAGGCAGGGGTTGCTCTACACTCCACCAAGTTTTAAGCATTGAACTCAGATGCCTCAAGGAATACCAGACCACTGCAGTGCATCTGACCTGTTAGCTGGTGGCAAAAACAACCTCATTTTGTAGGACTTGGGCATAATAACCGCGTTGTATCACAAGCTAATCAAGCAGTGCACTCCAGTTCCTCTGATCAGCCCAGGGCTGTCACCCTCCCTCCATGTGTGAGTTTTATGATCCCAGATGTTCAGTACCAAATCTAAGAGAATATTCTGTGCCTATGTAAGGGCTACCCCGATGTCTTTATCATAAGCACTTAACAGCATCCTGTCTCACCTCAGGGGGTAGGGTTTTAGTGGCTTGGGTTTTCATTTAATTTTTTCTAAAATGCTTTACATCCTGCAGATCTACTTTTACAGATCAGGCCTGTTTGGACATTGTGGACCCAGGACCGTGCCGTGGATACTGGCTTTGTTTTGTGCAAGCCAGGAAAACACTCTATCACTAAGCTCTACCACCCTAACCTAAAGTCAGCAGACGTATCTATCATCTTCACAGTGGGAAAGGATAAATGAAAAGAATGAAAAGAAATTAACCTAGCTATGAAAGAAAAACATACCGCTACTGTTGCATTCAGAATGAAATTGTTTCCTACAAATATTTTTATAGATTTTCCTTTCAAAGGGTGTCCTCTATTAGGGGAGTGTTTGTGAAGGGAAAGATCCTTAGGGCGGATGATGTAGCTCAAAGGATGCAACATAAAGCATTCACCTAGTATGTAAGAGACCCAGGGACCCATCCCAAGCACCATCTAGAAAGAGATTCTAATTATCTTTTACCTGGTTAAGTGTCTGGGTCACTCTGGAACCATGAGTCTCATCCTCACTCAAGTCAGGGATCTTAGGGTACATGGAATGGATTGCCAACGTGTACAGAGAGATCTGGACCCTCGTGTCCTTTAAATGTCCTTAAATGAAATTATTAAAATTGGCAAGGAATTTGTGCTTAGGCTAGGGGAGTATTTATTTATTTACTTATTTTATTTTTGAAACATCTTGTTACATAGTCCATACTTGCTCCAAACTTGCCATCTCTCTTTCTCTCTCAACCAAGGAAGGGTCTTGCCTGAACCTGCTTCCCTCTTTTAAGCCATTATTTGTATGAAGATAGAGGGACCATTCTAAAATATCTCTCCTCTCCCTTACCTCCAAATCCCTGGAAATTCCCGTGCCCATTCCATGTGTCCAGCGCTCACGGCCAAGGAGTTAGCCTTGTTTGAAACGAAACAGGTTTTCTTCCCATAGCAGATTTTTATTTTTACCTAAAATATTCAGATTCTTAGGCTCAATTAGCACTCTTGACAAAACCATCATCAAGTCTTTCTCTGTGATCAATCTAAACAAAAATGCATTTGTCCTTGGTCTGTATGTCACGGTTTCTTGCTGCAACCTGGCGCATGTTTCTGAGGGAACCTTGAGAAGCATCATGTCCATCCACAAATATTTCATGCATTCATTGATTTGAATGGCATATGCCCCACTGGAAGCAATACTCTCAGCTCGGGTGGAACGACCGTTTGTAGTGATGATTTCTTACTCCCTCCACCTGCCGTGACCTCCATCACGACATGGTAGACAGCTGTCTCATGGCCACACTTCTGTCTCAGTGACTCTGCCAGGCAGAGGACTCAGGGCGGAGGGCCAGCACCTACTAAACTGCTTAACATCTGCATATGGAAGAAAACCTGACTTGGGTTCCATTTGTGTGTTGAACACACTGCCTCTGGCCAAGATTCACGGAGGTTTCTTTTTGCGTCTTCAGGGGCTGCAGCCTTGCAGTGGTATCCGGGATACTCTACGGATCGACGTTTGTGCCGATCATTTACATCAAGGACCACAGCAAAAGAAATGAGAGTGTGTATGCGGGCGCTAGCCAGTTTGGTGAGTGGAGAGGGCTCCTGCCTCGGAAGCACGTTCTATGGTACTCCGTCAATAACAGAAAAAGAGCTGTGATCGGTAGTGGCTTTTCAGTTTTTATCTTAATAAACAAAGCTTGCCTGAAGATCAGAGTAAAGCAATCCCACTGGTCAGCCCTACAGACCAGGCAGTGGTAACACACACTAGTTTGCCACAGAAATCATGCATGCCTTTAACCTCAGTGGGGCACGCCTTTAATCCCAGGACTAGAGAGCATTATAAAATGGGAGGAGACAGCTCTCAGTCTGTGTCTCATTCTGAGATTCCTGGGGGCAGGATGGCCATTTCCCGACTGAGGTTGAGGTAAGAGCCATTGACTCCCTGCTTTGCTTTTGTACCCCAATTTCCCTTTCTGAGTTTTTATTAATCATACTTCAATGATCACATCGGTACAGCTGTGTGCCCTTGTCTTTTCTTTGGGAAGTGGAGAATGAGGCACCAGGAATCAAGGCGGCAATGGACGTTGGAGTGTTCTCATGGGATCTGTCATGTACAAAGGAAATGTACTACAGTCAGGATTCATCTCCACTGCTGCGATCTCAGCATGGGATTCCCAGCTTCCCTCTAAGATTCCGAGATTACGAAGAGTCATTTATGTCCAACATCGTGACCTCTGGGAAGACATGTTACTCTCTGCTCTTTCAAAACTGAAGTGTAGCACACAATATTCTTAACCAAGTAAATGTCAAAGGATAAGCCTATTTCGTCTAAGGGTATTAGTTTTCAAGCACAAAGTGGTCCACTGGAAGGGTCGACATAATGCCTCCAGTTCTAAAAATATCTCAGGAACCACGTTCTCTGCAACGGCCCTGGGAGTGCGGGAAGGGAAATAAACGAGGATCTACTGTAGGGCTCCTGAAACGCCATGGATGCACAGTGGACATAAGGAAGCTGGGTGAATAAAACAGAGCTCAGCATCATGTGATGTGGACAGTCCATGTGATTTGTAACCAGAACGGGAGAAATTTGAAACACAAAACTTCTAAGAAGGAGACAGGCAGGAAAATCGTAAGCTCAAGGCCAGTGCAGTCCCCACAGGGAGAGCTGGAGTTGTTGCTGAGGGTTGAACTTGACTGGTAATCCTGAGCTTGTCACAGCCTGTTTCCCTCTTTCTGTACTTAGCTCCCTGTGCAGTTCCCTCTACTGACCTTCCTTATTTCAGAGTTTTACATAAATTCTTTTTTTAGATTCCTGGGTTTTTTTTTTTTTTTTTTTAAAGTAAAACTTAACCACAGAAAGGTGAAAAAAAAAAAAACACGAAAGACGAAATAGACAGAGCCAAAATGAGTTTGACATCCTTGTCGGACACTTGTATGCTTGCTTGTAAGAGGCATGGATTTGGCTCTCAGAATTCTCTTAGCCACAGGGGAAATCAGCTCCACCCCAGAAGTCAGTGAACACAAAAACAATTGACTGTTGTCCTGGGACATAATGAACAATGTCCCCAACTGTCTCTTTATAGAAATAGACAATGACAATTTAAGTATTCTTACAACTCTGGCTGTACAGACGCAATCTCACGGAAGCATACTTTATCGCAGCTTGTTAAAAAAAATAACCCTCAGTGGACGTTACTGTACTGTGTTTCACAACATAGAGGTATCATGTGCTCCGATGTAAGGACTTTTGCAGATGCTCACTGGCTAGCCCTCACCTCTTTTTGTGCATAGATGGGTGGATTCCATTGCTATGATCTCCAGTATGATTTCGGGTTTAGAAGAGAGGGACTTGTAGGTCAGGCTTTCATCCAAAAACACAGCACTCATCCTTGTCCAAACTCTGGGTGATAGAAGCGTCAACCACAGTGGAGACTTCCTAGCCAAGCTCCCGCAGAGCACCCATCTGCTCAGGCTGTCAGTGATATCAGGGTTTCCCAAGATGCGCCACCATCGTGTGTCATTACCCACGGCCACCTTGGAGCCAGTTTGTTGCAAACGGTTAGACAGAGCTGCCTTTGGAATGACTTCTGAAGTCTTATGACCTCCCGTACAGTTGCCATCTGCAGTAGACCATGCAGTTTAGCCACACGCGAGGGCCCGTCTTTATTCACATTCTCCCTCCAGTCTGCAGCAAGATTTGCTGCAGTCGCTACAGCCCCTAGCAGCTGACTGCCTATTCCTTCGTAAAAGGCAACTTCTCCCTACAGTCAGACAATATTCACCATTTCATACTGAGATTTCCAGGGCCACTAAGAAAACGAGCCTGGCAGATTTCACTGTAGTAACTTACTTAATATGTCTAGATTTGAATTCTGCTTAATCAGATTCTATACAGACAACACACGGGGAATGATTAAATGTAACTAATGGTCCTGTACGCTTAAGGTGAGCTTCTGTGAGGATGTTTTATGTTAAAGAGATTAAGGTCTCTTGAGGTGGCCGGAATGATGTTTGCATTTCATCATCTGTGTATTTCAGACTTGGACTATGTTTTTGCACACTCCAGCGGTATCTTTCTTACGAGTACCGTCTACTTTGTGGCCTATTGTATAGCCATGAGAAATAGGCCAAATCTGTATCCGGAGGCCATCTTACCAGGTAAGGAAGGATATTAGCTACACAAAGCCTTACTTCTCTGTGAAAGGGCTGGCCTCCACTGATGAACTTGAATAATTGTTAGAGGGGAAGGGGAAGAGAGAAAGAGAGAGAGAGAGAGAGAGAGAGAGAGAGAGAGAGAGAGAGAGAGAGAGAGAGA